AGGTCCTGCGCCCACACAGACGAGTCTTCAGGAAGGACCAGCAGACGGCAGGACGACATGGCCCCAAGCAGCCGGCCGATGCGACAGTCCAACAGGTCTTTCGCCATTTTGGACACCAGGTCCAGGTCTTTGAGAGCCACATACACATTCTGCACGACTGACACAAAGTGGAAGGGAATCATTATCGAATGCTTATAAATCTGATGTCCTTTCTTTGTTTATTAGCACAACAACAATGAGACGGGAAGCTGTCCGTCCTTACACCGCTCAGTGTTGAGAGCAGTCCAGGACAGTGAGGTGAGCCCAGGGGAGAGAGCTTCCTCCACACGGCCAATGAAGGGCTGCATGATGGGGAGGAGGAGAGGTGGGACCCTGCCCACCACAGAGCTGTAGTCCTGGAGCATCTCCAGCAGTCTGGACCAGAGTCAGCACCATCAAAGAAAACACAAGTTTATCAGAGTGAAGAAGAGATGAAGACAAGAGTCTGAGACGAGAAGAGTAACGTTGCAGAGAAAATAAATCCTGATGTTGTTTAATCAAGAGGCCCCAGCGCCTTGTTTCTGTGAGCTTTTCTATCCAGCACAGAGTGACGTAACAACAAACACTACAAACCAAAGAAAAGACATTCATGTGATGGATTTGCGTGAGAACATCCCAGAATGAGCTGCTGGCGCGCCTACAGCTGGAGTGAACAGCTGCTCTCACCGGCTGTACAAATCTCTGAGCTCTGGTTCTCTGGAGGTCATCTTCTGGATGACCTTTGGCACGTTCACGCCCAGTTTGGTCATCCACCGAGCTTCCTGCAGCACCTCCAGCACCACAGGGTCCAGGTTCACCGAGACCTCCTGAAACAAAGAGGCTCTTTCAAATGTTCAATAAAATCTAAAATCTAACAGCAAATTTAAGGATCCAGGATCCAAAGGAAAGTGGAGTGTGTGGTGTTAGTTCACTGCCTGCAGAAACAAAAGCAGTCGGCTCTGGACTGTCGGTCACATGACTGAAATGTGTAAAAACGATTTGTTCAAATCTGAAAAAGATGATTAAAAAGTTAAACCTACACACGACCTTTAAAAGGTCCTTTCATCAGTCGTCACAAACCTTGCTGTCTTCATGTCGGACCAGCAGGGCAGTGCCCAGGCACCGTGGCGCGCTCTCTGCAGCCTGACTCCACCCCTGCAGGTGCAGCACCTCGTACTGCAGCAACACCACAGCCAGCTGGTTGTAGCTCCGGATGACTTTTGTCATCTCTGGTCCCTGAGACAGACACAGACAGGCGGCGTCACCGAGGACGCGCTCATCACAGAGATCATGTGACTGATGGGGTAAAGTCAGAGTGTGCACCTTCAGGAAGTCAAGCTTCTTCTTCAGGATCAACATCGGAGCTTCAACCTTCCTGAAGAGCTGCCGGCTCCAGAGGACCCTGCCTGACACCTGAGAGAGAGAGATCAATAACAAAAGCTTTATCGGTAAATAAATCATCTGTATTTCTCAATAGAAGCACAATAGAAGCATCCTCCAGGACTGGAGTTTGACACTCGGATTTAAAGTAGTGAATTTCCTGCTGGTGTTTGTGAGCACGGGGTGAGCAGGTGTAAGTACCGGCGGCAGGTTGCGTCCGATGGGCGGCCGGTCCTTGTGTTTCTGGTAGGTCTTCCTCAGCAGCTCCAGGTCTCGGCTGTAGCGCTGCAGCAGCAGCAGGTAGTACTGCCTCAGGTCCAAGCGAGCCAGCGGACCCAACTCAAACATGGCCAACAGCTCCAGCAATCTCTGCGTCTGAATCCAGACACATTGTTTCAG